TGTTGCAGTGTCCTACCTTTTGTTATACTGAAGAAAGATCTATTTGTCTCTGTCCGTGTAGAAAGTGAATCTAATGGAAGTGGTTTCATAATTATCAGTGAGCTGCTGCACCTGCAGGGCTCTAATGTGGAAATTACAGGGTCTGCATCCCTTTAGGCTAGGTTCACACCTATGCAGTTTGCGTTTGCCCCATTTCTGCAGTGCGTTATGCATTTTTGCACGAGTTTTTGCCGTGTTTTTGCCAAGTTTTTGATGCGGTTTTGTGTTTTTTTTTTTTTTTTTTTTCTTGTTGCTAGGCAGATTAAAATGTAAAATGCATCAAAAACGCATCACAAACACGTAAAAAAATGCAGCAAAAACACACTAAATGCTTTTCTACAGCATTTCCATTAAGTCTAAAAAACCAAAAATGCAACTTTTTGCATTTAAAAAAGTCCTTGACCCTTTCCAAAAAAATGCATCAGGTGAAAATGGGGAGATGTGAACGTGTCCCATTGTAAATCATGTTAAATGGACTGTAGTGCGTTTCCAAAAAGCTGCGGAAAACGGTTAGGTGTGAACCTATACTCAGACATGATTTCCTATTGGGAGTATCTCACATTTTTTGTTGCAGGGGGTGCCTGAAATTTGACTTGTATCTTAGTGCAGACTTCTGAGAAAATCATTGAGCCAATCACACAAGCAGCAAATGATGTTGCTGTGTACAGAACACTTCCATGTAACCATATTGCATTACATTTATAGAAAATGACAGTGCTGCAGATTGAAAAGGAAAGGTAATTTTTAATAGCATTCAATTAAAATATGACTTGTGTCGCAAATGTATATGCTATATTATTTTTTTATTTGCCATTTTTTTCTGCATGAAAGTGGAGTTAACCTTCAAAGAGGGTTTCCTGATTACAATAAGTCCAACATGCCCCCATATCCACCAGGTAAAGAATGTGGGGAAGAAGCCCTTGTCCGCATCAACAAAAGGACAAGGTGTTTTGCTGAGGGGAAGACTTTGGCAAGGTACCACCCCCCCCCATGTTGAGGTCATATGGCCTGCGAACAAAATTAAGGCATTATCTGTGTATGAACAGCAAACTGAAATAAATGTAGGCAGCTCACATTGGCGAGTGGCCAAGAAAGCACCAATTGTGTTCTGGCTGACATAACGGGAATCCACAGTCGAATTCCAAGAGGTCTTCATCAATACATCCCATGGTTGGGTGTGCCATGATCAACACTAATGCTGTTGGATAATTGGAGTCCACAATGTTCAGAGTAAGGAAGTGGATTACAATAATGTTCAATAAACAAAAGTCATACATTTAATGCAATCAGTAAAACTCAACATGTTTTGTGCATACATTGCTCTCTTCAGGAAGGGAAGGTTCAGGAGTTGGGGTTCCCTGACTTTCATTGCCACCCAGGCTACATGCATGAATAGGTGTCTGGTATAGATTATAGGCAAAAAACAGCATGGGGTCCCTCCATTATCCCTCCAAACTGTTATCTTTGATGTTTGGGCACAAGTCTTTTCTCTTTCATCCCACATTGGGAGTACTTCTCGCAATCTGGAGGCCCATTTAACATAGCATAACTTCTGGCGGAAGTAGCAACCAGAATTGGTGAATAGGATCATTCAGCTGGAGTTTGAATCAAACCCTTTATGAACCTGTACCCAAAACTCATTCTTACTATAGAATCCTCCAGATTTATCCAATTCACAGATCAAGAAAGAAACTAGGGCTGTAACCCCTGTCACTGTGTTAAGATGAGTAAATATAGGCAGTTTATGCTGTAAGAGTCAGAAAAATACGTAAGTGCTTTCAAACACATTGAAGAAAAACCACACATCAGTAAAACATTTTTACTTTCCATAGTAGAGGGAAAAATAATTTACTGATTAGGTAAAACACATGCACTCACTGTTATAAAGATTAGGGATGAGCACATCTGTATGGAAAACCAGACACTGCCATGAGGGATATGTACCAATGGCAAAATAAAAAAAGAGCCCTCCTTATGCATTCCTTCAAGTTATTGGATCTTGTGACTGAGCTGACCAAGAGAATAAGGTATTGTCAGGGCTCCCGGGTATGACCAGAGGTATGTGACTGACGCAGGGAAACGCAGACTTCAGAAATGTTATAAACAATGTAATTTATTAACACTAACCATACAAACATAAACGCAGTGCAATACTAAAACATAACACAGTGCAAACAAACCAAACCAACCACCCACAGATAACAGTACATACAATGCAAGCGTCGTCAGGCAGGCCGGGTCAATATCAATCGGGCAGGTAGCTACAGGGGGAGCAAGCGGAGAATGGTCGGGGTCACAAGCCAGGTTCAGCAGGTAGCGGGCAGCGTGGTACAGAGGGTCAGGCAGAAGAGAATGGTCAGACAAGCCAGGGATCAGGAGCAGGAGAATGGTCAGACAAGCCAGGGATCAGAGCAGGGTCAGCAGAGAATCAGACAGGAACAGGGAGCAGGAACAGGATACAGGGCCCAGGAGAAACACACACCAAGGCAGAGTCTGCAGGTCTGAATGTCCCTTAAATACACCAGTATAATTAGTTCCAGGTGTTTGACTGGCTGCAAGGTTGAGTCTCTGATTGCTGGGAGCACCCGCTGGCCAGCCCTGGTACTGCAGCTCACAAGGCAGGTGAGTCCCACTATTGCTGGCCAGTCCATTCCTGACAGTACCCCCCCCTCAAGGAGCGGCCTCAGGACGCTCCAAACAGTCCTAGCTGGGCAAAATGTTCCACCGCCCGGGTCTGGTAACTGGCGGGATATCAAAGACTGGCACACCGGGCAGGACTCCGGGCAGCGGCACACCGGGCAGGACTCCGGGGCAGCGGCACACCGGGCAGGGGCACACCGGGCAGAGGCACACCGGGCAGAGGCACACCGGGCAGGACTCCGGGCAGAGGCACATCGGGCTGGACTCCGGGCAGAGGCACATCGGGCTGGACTCCGGGCAGAGGCACATTGGGCTGGACTCCCGGCAGCGGCACACCGGGCAGAGGCACATCGGGCTGGACTCCGGGCAGAGGCACATCGGGCTGGACTCCGGGCAGAGGCACATCGGGCTGGACTCCGGGCAGAGGCACATCGGGCTGGACTCCGGGCAGAGGCATATTGGGCTGGACTCCGGGCAGAGGCACATCGGGCTGGACTCCGGGCAGAGGCACATCGGATTACCAGGCGAAGCAGCCAGGGCGACAGGCATCGGGCCCCCAGGCGGGGCGACAGGCATCGGGCCCCCAGGCAGGGCGACAGGCATCGGGCCCCCAGGAGGGGCGACAGGCATCGGGCCCCCAGGCGGGGCGACAGGCATCGGGCCCCCAGGCGGAGCGACAGGCATCGGGTCCCCAGGCGGGGTGACAGGATCGGGCCTCCAGGCGGAGCGGCGGGCGCCGGACCCCCAGGCGGAGCGACAGGTCTCGGGCCCCCAGGCAGGAGCGGCGGGTGCCGGACCCCCAGGCGGAGCGACAGGTCTCGGGCCCCCAGGCGGAGCGACAGGTCTCAGGCCCCCAGGCGGAGCGACAGGTCTCAGGCCCCCAGGCGGAGCGGAGCTCAGGCCCCCAGGCAGAGCGGCGGGCGCCGGACCCCCAGGCGGAGCGGCGGGCGCCGGACCCCCAGGCGGAGCGACAGGTCTCGGGCCCCCAGGCGGAGCGGCGGGCACCGAGTCACCAGGCACGACAGTGGGCTCCGAGTCAACTGGCAAGACTGCGGGCACCGAGTCAACTGGCAAGACTGCGGGCACCGAGCCAACTGGCGGAACAGCGGGCTTCGAGTCGTCTGGCAAGACTGCGGGCACCGAGTCGTCTGGCAAGACTGCGGGCACCGAGTCGTCGAGTCGTCTGGCAAGACTGTGGGCACCGAGTCGTCTGGCAAGACTGCGGGCACCGAGTCAACTGGCGGAACAGCGGGCATCGAGTCAACTGGCGGAACAGCGGGCTTCGAGTCGTCTGGCAAGACTGCGGGCACCGAGTCGTCTGGCAAGACTGGGGCACCGAGTCGTCTGGCAAGACTGCGGGCACCGAGTCGTCTGGCAAGACTGCGGGCACCGAGTCGTCTGGCGGAACAGCGGACATCGAGTCAACTGGCAGAACAGCGGGCACCGAGTCGTCTGGCAAGACTGCGGGCACCGAGTCGTCTGGCAAGACTGGGGGGGCACCGAGTCGTCTGGCAAGACTGCGGGCACCGAGTCGTCTGGCAAGACTGCGGGCACCGAGTCGTCTGGCAAGACTGCGGGCACCGAGTCAACTGGCAAGACTGCGGGCACCGAGCCAACTGGCGGAACAGCGGGCTTCGAGTCGTCTGGCAAGACTGCGGGCACCGAGTCGTCTGGCAAGACTGCGGGGCACCGAGTCGTCTGGCAAGACTGTGGGCACCGTCGTCTGTCTGGCAAGACTGCGCGGCACCGAGTCAACTGGCGGAACAGCGGGCATCGAGTCAACTGGCGGAACAGCGGGCTTCGAGTCGTCTGGCAAGACTGCGGGCACCGAGTCGTCTGGCAAGACTGCGGGCACCGAGTCGTCTGGCAAGACTGCGGGCACCGAGTCGTCTGGCAAGACTGCGGGCACCGAGTCGTCTGGCGGAACAGCGGACGTCGAGTCAACTGGCGGAACAGCGGGCACCGAGTCGTCTGGCAAGACTGCGGGCACCGAGTCGTCTGGCAAGACTGGGGGGGCACCGAGTCGTCTGGCAAGACTGCGGGCACCGAGTCGTCTGGCAAGACTGCGGGCACCGAGTCACCTGGCGGAACAGCGGGCATCGAGTCAACTGGTGGAACAGCGGGCACCGAGTCATCTGGCAAGACTGCGGGCACCGAATCACCAGGCACGACAGTGGGCTCTGACTCAATTGGCACGACAGCGGGCACCGGGTCATCAGGTACCGGATTGTCTGGCTCGACAGCGGGCATCGGGTCACCAGGTATGACAGCAGGCACTGGGTCACCAGGCATCAGGTCATTTAGCTCGCCAGCGGGGGCACCGCGTCATCTGGCAAGGCAGTGGGCACCGGGTCACCAGGCATTGGATCGTCTGGCTCGACAGCGGGCATCGGGTCACCAGATATGACAGCGGGCACTGGGTCACCAGGCATCAGGTCATTTTAGCTCGCCAGCGGGGCACCGCGTCATCTGGCAAGGCAGTGGGCACCGAGTCACCAGGCACGACAGCGGGCTCTGAGTCAACTGGCATGACAGCGGGCACGGGTCATCAGGTACCGGATTGTCTGGCTCGACAGCGGGCATCGGGTCACCAGGTATGACAGCGGGCACTGGGTCACCAGGCATCAGGTCATTTGGCTCGCCAGCGGGCACCGCGTCATCTGGCAAGGCAGTGGGCACACGAGTCACCAGGTACGACAGCGGGCTCTGAGTCAATTGGCACGACAGCGGGCACAGGATCAGGTACCGGATCATCTGGATCAACAGCGGGCATCGAGTCAACTGGCCTAATAGGATCGTCAGGCTGGATCAGTTCATCATGCTGGGTAGAGGCATCAGGCTGAATGCAGGCATCAGGCTAAGTAAAGGCATCAGGCTGAGTAGAGGCATTCAGGCTGAGTAGAGGCTTCACGCTGAGTAGAGGCTTCAGGCTGAGTAGAGGCATCAGGCTGAGTAGAGGCTTCAGGCTGAGTAGAGGCTTCAGGCTGAGTAGAGGCATCAGGCTGAATAGAGGCATCAGGCTGAATAGAGGCATCAGGCTGAGTAGAGGCTTCAGGCTGAGTAGAGGCTTCAGGCTGAGTAGAGGCATCAGGCTGAATAGAGGCATCAGGCTGAATAGAGGCATCAGGCTGAGTAGAGGCTTCAGGCTGAGTAGAGGCATCAGGCTGAGTAGAGGATTCAGGCTGAGTAGAGGATTCAGGCTGAGTAGAGGCTTCAGGCTGAACCACGGAAGGCAGGTTCACCGGTTTGGATACTGGCAGGATGGTATTGGTTGGAAAGAATTTTCGCTTTTTTCTGGTTTTAAACTACTGGAGCACTGCAAGTAAACGCAGGTCTGCAAACAATGGAGCAGCTGGAGACAGAGAAGAGCTGGAGGATGGAACAGGGGAGGGAGCAGTTGCTACAGAGGGCTTTTTTAAAGGGTTAAAGGCAGGATAGGTGCAGCGAGTGGGAACAGGGTACTGACATGCGGTAGATAGCAGGGCAGGAGGAGCTGTTGGGGGGAATGCAGGAATAGAGCTTTGAGGAAATAGATTAGAAGCAGGACTGGGTTTTTGTAAGCTGACTGAGGCTGGGTGCAACAAATCTGTCCATGTCTGCAGTATGGTTGAACAAAGCTGAGCTTACACAAAGCCTGTCTGACTAAAGACTGCACTGCGTTTATACAATCTCTTAGTATCTGTTGTGAACATGCAGCATAATGCTCCAAGAAGCAATCCACATCATCCTCTAATAACCGTACCAGGGACTCTACCTGGTCGGCACTAAATGGCAGCAAAAAGTCATCCCTGCATTCGGGGGAACCAGGTGAAACCAACTCCGCACAAATCTGAATCAATGGCTGCACCTCAGAGAATTCTGTGCCTTGATCTACTAGAACATGAGCGATCCGTATATACATTCTAGCAGTTCATCCCTGGAATGCTCCTTCAGAGTTTGATAAGCATACTCTCTGTCATCAAACACTAGCAGATATAAATACTCAACCTCATCAAGATCCATCCTTCCCATCAACAAGCCAAGATGGCTTCCCTGTGCAGCCACTTCTGGTCAGGATTGGCCTTGGTGTAATGTCAGGGCTCCCGGGTATGACCAGAGGTATGTGACTGACGCAGGGAAACGCAGACTTCAGATATGTTATAAACAATGTAATTTATTAACACTAACAATACAAACATAAACGCAGTGCAATACTAAAACATAACACAGTGCAAACAAACCAAACCAACCACCCACAGATAACAGTACATACAATGCAAGCGTCGTCAGGCAGGCCGGGTCAATATCAATCGGGCAGGTAGCTACAGGGGGAGCAAGCGGAGAATGGTCGGGGTCACAAGCCAGGTTCAGCAGGTAGCGGGCAGTGTGGTACAGAGGGTCAGGCAGAGGAGAATGGTCAGACAAGCCAGGGATCAGGAGAATGGTCAGACAAGCCAGGGATCAGAGCAGGGTCAGCAGAGAATCAGACAGGAACAGGGAGCAGGAACAGGATACAGGGCCCAGGAGAAACACACACCAAGGCAGAGTCTGCAGGTCTGAATGTCCCTTAAATACACCAGTATAATTAGTTCCAGGTGTTTGACTGGCTGCAAGGTTGAGTCTCTGATTGCTGGGAGCACCCGCTGGCCAGCCCTGGTACTGCAGCTCATAAGGCAGGTGAGTCCCACTATTGCTGGCCAGTCCATTCCTGACAGGTATACACTGCACTATAGGTTGTTCCTTCTTTATGGTGATGAAACTGTAAAGTTTTTGGCCAAAAGGTTGTTATTCATGGAGTTTGTGAATTCCTGGGATTCACCACAAACCCATGGTAGCACAAAACCTGAACCTCATTCCTAATGACAAAGTCTTTTAACATCAACAAATTCAAAAGTCATTCCTTTTATGACAAAAAAACAAAAAAAACCCAAAAACAAATGAACAAGCATTTGTAGAACAAAAGTAGTAATAAAGTAAAGGTCACACTTGAAATCCTGCGAATGGCAAGAACTCAGGACTGGCATCACTATGGAGGACACAGTAGGAGAAACAATCACCTACTTGCATGTGTCACCTTGCCTTTCTGGCTGATGAGGTGTCACTCTCTCATTGGCAACTTACATTTTGCAGCATATTTCAGCAGCAAGTTAGAAAAACATTCAAGCAAAGTTTTCTCCATGCACATTTTAGTGATATACTGTATCTCTGGTGACTTGCCAGCAATAGAAAATAACAAGTGTGACACGGACTTTACTGCCTAAGGTTTACAACTTTAATTGTTCTGATTAACTTTATAATTAGGAACACAAACAGAAACAAAATTGTCCATTCTTTCTTCTGAAACAAAAAATCCTAATAAAATAAAGATATTCAAATAAGGTACATAAATTCTTGACTTTTTTTAAAATTAGATCAAATTATAGCCCTAATTTATATAGCATATTTAGCAGCAGTGCAATGTAGAATTTTGCAGATTCTGCTGTTGCATATTTAAAGCACTTCTTTAACAAGGGAGTGTTGTGAAGTTACAAGGTCCTCATTGCTGAAGCATTATAAAACATTGATAAATCTACATAAGCTTAGAAATATGGCCATGGTCAATAGTGGCATAGAAACTACAATAGCTGGGGGATTTTATGAAATAATCGCAGGGCATATTTGCTAAAATTGATAGTTTCAATTTCATATAGGCTTAAGAAGGAATGATCCTAATTTGTCTAAGAGACAAACTTAATGTGTATAATGAGCATGTTAAGTAAAATCCTTCAATGTCAAATTTTGGTTTTAAGAGGAAAAAGCAGGAACATACACTGCTTTCTGGCACAAGGACCTAGTGCTATCAGTGGTCAATGTGGGGTATTCAATGCAGAAAGATGAACAACTTTATATGCCTTGACACTGGCCTTAATGTAACCCTAATGCTAATCCCCCACCCCCCCAACCAAACATTTACATTTATCACCATGCTAACACTTAACCATTAAACTGTATGTAATGTCATTAGAGATGAGCGAATCGAACCTGGCGAAGTGGAATTTGTTTCGAATATCAGGAAAAATTTGATTCGCATCGAATCCGAATTTTAGCAAACTTCGGGTGCACGAATCGAATTTTTCCCGATCAGCCAGCCGGGCAAAAGTGTCACTGCAGAGAGCTCCGCTATTTCTGACAGTTCTGACAGTTCATTTACAGCGGTTGAAACATTGTATCTATTTGTTTCCATTTAGGATACAGATGTTTTTATTCGGAAATAAATAGATACAATGTTTCAACCGCTGTAAATGTGAAGGAACTGTCAGAGAACTGTCAGAAAATAGCGGAGCTCTCTGCAGATACACTTTTGCTGTACTTTAATTTCTTCTTCTTTTCATTCTTCTTCTTCTTCTTCTTCTTCTTCTTTTCATTCTTTTTCATTCTTCTTCTTTTCTTTTCTTTTCATTCTTCTTCTTCTTCTTTTTCATTCTTCTTCTTTTCATTCTTCTTCTTCTTTTCATTCTTCTTCTTCTTCTTTTTCATTCTTCTTTCATTCTTCTTCTTTTCATTCTTCTTCTTCTTTTCATTCTTCTTTTCATTCTTCTTCTTCTTCTTTTCATTCTTCTTCTTTTCATTCTTCTTTCTTCTTCTTCTTTTCATTCTTCTTTTCATTCTTCTTCTTTTCATTCTTCTTCTTCTTCTTTTCATTCTTCTTCTTCTTCTTTTCATTCTTCTTTTTCATTCTTCTTCTTCTTCTTTTCATTCTTCTTCTTTTCATTCTTCTTTTCATTCTTCTTCTTCTTCTTCTTTTCATTCTTCTTCTTCTTCTTTTCATTCTTCTTCTTTATTCTTTTCATTCTTCTTTTCATTCTTCTCATTTTCTTCTTTCATTCTTCTTCTCTTCTCATTCTTCTTTTTCATTCTTCTTCTTCTTCTTCTTTTCATTCTTCTTTTCATTCTTCTTCTTCTTCTTTTCATTCTTCTTCTTCTTCTTTTCATTCTTCTCTTCTTCTTTTCTTCTTTCTTCTTCTTTTCATTCTTCTTCTTCTTCTTCTTTTCATTCTTCTTTTCATTCTTCTTCTTCTTCTTTTCATTCTTCTTCTTTTCATTCTTCTTTCATTCTTCTCATTCTTCTTTTCATTCTTCTTTTCATTCTTCTTCTCATTCTTCTTGTCATTCTTCTTCTTCTTCTTCTTTTCATTCTTCTTTTCATTCTTCTCATTCTTCTTTTCATTCTTCTTCTTCTTCTTCTTTTCATTCTTCTTCTTCTTCTTTTCATCTTCTTCTTTTCATTCTTCTTTTCATTCTTCTTCTTCTTCTTTTCATTCTTCTTCTTTTCATTCTTCTTTTCATTCTTCTTCTTCTTCTTCTTCTTCTTCGTCGTGCCCCGTGACTGCCCAATAATGAGTGAAGTGTGCGGTGATTCTAAGATCGACGGCACTCATCTGCATGTCATACTGACTGACAGTATTATTTCTCTTCCCCAGCAGACTCCAAGGGCATTTAAATTAAAGGTACAGTGTTCTGCACTAATATAAAGGCTCTCTGAAGCCTAGAAACCCTTTTAATAAGTTAAATTTGCGGCGAATAAATTTGCATCGAATCGAATAAATTCGCATCGAATCGAATTTCTCCCGCAAATTCGGCGAATCAGCCGAATCAAATTTTTGAATAATTCGCTCATCTCTAAATGTCATTTTTTTGTTTTGAATAGGGCAAGAGTGGTACCCATGTCAGATTTTTTTTGCAGCCTACGTCCCATAGGGACACAACATGGCTAGAATTGTCAAATACAAAACCACAAAGTATAACCTTAGAGATATTTGGTAGCTGT